TACTAGCCTTCTGGATGGTCCTGTATATTGCAAATACCAGCCTATGGCATTTTTGTTTTGTGCGGAATCTTTTGCATAAAGAATTTTTGTATACCCCAATGAACCAGACTTTTCCTTGATAAAGCTTGTGGTTGCATGTCTTCTTCATTAAGTAGTGTTTTCCTATTCCGCTGTGAGTGTCTGCTATAATTTCTTCCAAGTTTTTCAGGATTTCTTTCCATATCTAAATCTTTGATCTATTAATTTATTTTTATGTATGGGATGAGGTAAAAATATAATTTTATTTTTTCATATAAATAACCAATTGTCCTAGTACTATCTGTTGAATAGTCTCTTTTCTTCATTCATTTGTAATGTCACTTTTATCATTTATATACACACATGTATATCGCCTTAGGCTCACTTTTCTGTTACATATTTCCTATTTATTTTTATCTTTGCCTGTACCAATATAACACTGATTATTTCTGTATTTTTATTCTAAGTATTGCTACCCAGTGGAGAAGTTTTTCTGCTTTTGTTCTTCAAAATTATTTAACTATTCTTGACCTTTTGTCTTTCCATATTAATTTTAGGATCAGCTTCTCAAGTTTCATAAAAACTCTTTGAGGATCTTTATTAGAATTACAGTGCACTGTAGATTGATTTGAGAATCACTATCTTGATAAATTGTGTCTTATCATCCATGAAAATGGTATATTGTTCCTTTTCCTTGGGTCTTCTCTTATGCCCTTTAATAAAGGGTTTTCGTTTCTATTTTCTCTATAAATCTCCTGCATATTGTTTATCTTTAGATTTGTTTAGTTTTTGTCACTGTTACAAATGGGATTCTTTTTTAAATTAAAATTTTAATTGGTTTGCTGGTGAATAGCAACACTAATTTTTGAACTAGAACCTTCTATCTTTAATCTACTAACATTGCAAAAGAATATTACCAGTATGATACAGATCTCTTTTTTTAATTTCATTTTTCAGCTATAGTTGACATACAATAATATATTAGTTTCAGGTTTAAAACATAGTGATTAGACATTTATATAACTTAACAAAGTGATCACCCGATAAAACCCATCTGGCACCATACATTGTTATTACAATATTATCGAGTATATCCCCTATGCTATATTTTAAATGCCCATGACTATTTTGTAACTGCCAATTTGTACTTCTTAATCCCTTCCCCTTTTCACCTCTCCTGTACCATCTGGCAATTATGAAAGTGTTCTCTGTATCTATGAGTTTATTTCTGTTTTGTGTTTTAGATTCAAAAAGTAGAGAACAAATTAAATCATATGGTATTTTATTTCTCTGTACTAGTTATTTCACATAGCATACCTTCTAGGTCCATCAATGTTTTTGCAGATGGCAGGATTTCATTCCTCTTTATGGCTGAGTAATATTCCATGTATATATGTACCACTTCTTCTTAATTCATCTATTGATAGACATTTAGATTGCTTCCATATCTTAGTTCTTATAAATACGCTGCAGTAAACATGTGGATGCGTATGGCTTTTTAAATTAGTGTCCTGGGTTTCTTCAGATAAATACCTAGAGGTGGGATTACTGGGTCCTCCTTTGTCTCTTGTTATAGCCTTTGTTTTTAAAGTCTAGTGTCTGGTATAAATATTGCTACCCTAGCTTTTTGTTTGCTTGTTTCCATTTTCATGAAACATCTTTTTCCATCTCTACTTTCAGTCTATGTATGTCTTTCAATCTGAAGTGAGTCTCTTGTAGGCAGCATATGTAAGGGTCTTGTTTCCTTATCCATTCAGCCACCCTACATCTTTTGATTGGAGCATTTAATACATTTAAAGTAATTGTTGATAGATATATGGTTATTGCCATTTTATTATCCATACTTTTATCTTTTCTTTTTCTTTAAGAAGTCCCTTAAATTCGTGTAATATTGGTTTGATGTTGATGAACTGCTTTAGCATTTTCTTGTCAGGAAGCTCTTTATCTGTCCTTCAATATTTGACCAAGCTTTGCTGGGTCAAGTAATCTTGGTTGTAAGTGCTTGTTTTTCATCACTGAATATTTTGTGCTAGTCCCTTCTGGCCCACAGAGTTTTTGTTGATAAATCAGCTGACAGTCTTATGGGAGCTCCTTATAGGTAACTACCTGCTTTTCTCTTGCTACTTTTAAGGTTCTCTCTGTGTCTTTTGGCATTTTAATTGTGATGTGTCTTGGTGTGGGTCTCTTTGGGGTCATCTTTTTGGGGACTCTCTGAGCTTCCTAGGCTTATGTGTCTATTTCCTTCACCTGCTTAGGGAAGTTTTCCATCATTATTTCTTCAAATAGGTTTTCAATTTTTCGTTCTCTCTCTTCTCCTTCCCCTGTGATGTGAATGTTGTTAAATTTGATGTTTTTCCAGAAGCCTCTTAAACTTTCATTTTTTGGATTCTCTTTTCTTGTTTCTCTTCTGATTGTGTGTTTTTGGCTACCTTGTCCTCCAAATTGCTGATTCATTTCTCCGCTTCACCTATTCTACTATTGATTCCATTTAATATATTCTTTATTTAAGTTATTATATTTTTCATTTCAGACTGGTTCTTTTTTTTTTTTCTATCTTCATTGTTATGTTTCCTATCACTCTGTTGAAGTTCTCACTGAGATCATTGAGCATCTGTATAGCCAGTTTTTTGAACTCTGCATTTGGTAGATTGCATGCCTCTATTTTGTTTAGTTCTCTTTCTGGATCTTTGTTCTATTTTTTGCTTCTTTGTCTCTCAATTTTGGCTGCCTCCCTGTGTTTGCTGCTATGTAATAGATACAGCTACCGTGTGTCCCTGTCATGGCAATGGCCTTATGTAGTAGATGCCCTGTGGATTCCAGTGGCACAGTCTCCCTGGTCACCTGAGCTATGTGCTCCTGTTATGTCTCTTGTGTGGGTTGTGTGTGCCATCCTGTTGTAGTTGATCCTTGATTGCTATTGGCACATCAGTGGAAGGGACTGACCTTCGAGCTGATTCATTGTGTTGACTGGCCATGACTACAATGGAGAAGCTGTTGTCAGGGGCTCACTCTACAGAGCAGAAATTCACTTTAGCAGATCTCTGGCACCTGCCAAGACTGCCCTTTGGGTGTGTCATTTGTGCAGGTGATCGAGTGGTGCTCTGGAGTAATCTGAAGTTGGCCACCAGGTATGTTGGTTCTTGGACCTCTTAGAAGGGGCTCTGGTGCAGGCCAAGGTCACCTACTGCCAATGCCCTGCACAAGACCACGTGGAATGAGCTACAAAGTGGTTTGCAAATGGTTGCCACTTGTCCTGGGCTTGGAGGTGCCTGGGAGAGGCTAAGCTATGAACTGAGGCTGGCTGCTGCTAGTACCAGGCTTGGGGCCACTTACCAAGAAGTATGGGACACATTGAGGCCAGATGCTGCTTGTTTGAGATTTTAGGAAAGTCCACAGTATGAGCTAAGACAGATTATTTGTATGTAAAAGCCTCTGAAAATGGCTTGGGTGGGCCCAAAAAGTAGGTAGGGCAAGGTCTCAGGGGATCACCAGGGCAGGGCGAATGGTTTTAGCCAGGTTGATGGAGACTCAAATGTGGTACCCGCCTATGTGTTCAGGCCAGGAGAGGGAGGGCTCAACAAAGGAACGGAAACTGCCAGCACTTCCATCTGAGAGAAAGCTACCTCTCTAGCCCTTGCCCTGAAGCCAGACAATTTATTCCCCCACCCCACCCTGTTTGTCCCTGGTGCCTTTCTAGCTGCTGCCACAGTGAGTCCATGAGTGAGTAAGTGCATGTATGGGCCCTTTAAGAGGACCGCTGGACACTCCGTCCCTTATCTCTTTCTCTGAAAATTCTAGTACATCTGAGTTCACCTCTAATCTTGCCTCAAACCATTAGGATAGGTGCATGGAACCATAAACAGTCCCTGTGGTTTGCATTTATAGCCTTCCATTATCTTTAAAACAAGGTAGTCTATTTCTGTTTTGTCCTTAAATGATCAATCATATTTAGAATGGTTTCAGTGCTTCCTAGGGGACCACTAGAACAATATATTAATATCTCAAATGTTGGATTTGTGCTAAAAGTTAACAAAGCATTTACCTACCTATTTCATTCAGCTCTTCTTTTGAGACATACGCATAAGAACTCCTTAGCTATAAGAAGTAAAGAATATGTATCTCCATTATAGATAATAAGTGGCACTTTCAGAGCTAAAACTGTAAAAGAATAATTATTACTTTCAAAGCAGGAGATTTTCTTTAAAAACATTAATTTTTTTTTCAATATTAGGTGAAAGTGTACAAGCAGAGCCTGGTGTTAGATAAATATTTGTTGAATGACTACACTCTTAGTTGGACATTTTCTTTTATGCACTAAAACTGCTAATCCAGTTTTGAATGCCCTTTTGTCATCATTAATCCTTGTCCAACACAACAGTGTTAAACAAACCAGGTGTCTTTTCATTGAAGGACATGGAAAGCGTTTTTTATGAGATTTAGCATTGTGCATGTATTTTTCCTTTCAGTGCATTTGTGTGCATTGTTTTACATGGGTCACTTCATAAATTTTGTGTATTACTTAATCATTATATTGAGTTATATTCATAAGAATTCTCGAGAAGGAAGTTTTTAGAAACTCCTAAGTATTCCATTCCACTGTTTTCATTGATTTTTTTCTATGGGACTTTATTTTTACATTTCACTGAAATTATTTTTGCTGTGCTTGAGGCCCCTTTCTTTTTTCCCATCCTTCCTGGTCAAAAAGAAAATGTATCTGTCTGACTAGTTAACCTTTTCAACTTGACATTTGAACACTCACTTTTCTTTATTCTCTGTGCAATAATCATCCCGATTTTCTTATTTTTTTCTCAGAGATTTTCAACTCCTAAGTTATCTTATTGTTTCTCTGAGCTAGTCAACTGCATCTTAAATTTGAAATCTCCTATTACTATTGTAATTATGTGATCATTTCGGTTTATAAATTTGAATTAAATTAAATGTATGTTTTTTGTGCTTTAAGTGTTCTAAAAATAATCTTTCAGCCATGGAAACAAAGAAGTATTTTCCTGCCGAGGAATAAAATTGGCAGTGGATTGGTTTTTGGAAAGAGGCCACAGAGATGTTACAGTTTTTGTTCCTGCGTGGAGAAAAGAGCAGTCCCGTCCTGATGCTCTCATTACAGGTAAATCCTGTTAGTTGTTTGTACTTAGCGTCCATTTATACCTATGCAGGTCTCTGGCACTGTCAGGTATTTTGCTAAACAATATGTAAATTTGTTTTTGTTTACTCAGTCTTTGTAACTGCCACATTGTCTTGGGTGGAACAGTAAATTTATTTTCAAGTTTAAAAACTACCTGTTTATGTTAACTAAACAATAATTCTTGCTACATATGCCAGTTTTTATTTTTTAATTTGAATACTTTTCACTTCAAATGTTGTAGAATTCTGACCTTTGGAGACATGCAGGAAATCAGGAGACCTAGATTCAAATTCAGACTTTCCCATTTACTAGCTATAGGACTAGTAATTAATGGAGGAAAGTAAGGCAATCTTAAGGTCCATAATATATATTTACAGTTTGCTTTTCACACAGTGCTACTAATTCATGCTCTTGCCAACAGTGAACCAATACCAAAACCTTTCTAGCACTATTATAATAATTTTCAGTCTTTCGCTATTAAAAACCAAAATCATTTAATTATTTTAATTTGTAGTAGTTTGATTAATAAACATCTTGAATAAAAACAACTTGAATATTTTTTAACTTTGTTCTTGATTTATATTTCATCATCCTGAATTCCTTTCTTCTACATGACCTTTCACTATTCATCTATTGAATCTTCAAATTTTTCTAGTTTATTTATATGATTTTATATATAAAAAAAGAATATCCCTTTGTTTCTCAAAGTCATGCATAAGATATTTATATAGGTGCCTTTATATAAGTAAACTTCATTACAGTATAATTTTTTTCAATAAAATGCACTGATTTTGAGAGCACAACTTGATTAGTTTGAAAAATATACACACCAATATAATAGATAAAGAGTGAATATTTGCATCACCCAAAAAGTTCTCTCACATCTCTTTGCTGCAAAAATCCCCAGGAAAAACTCTTATCTACTGTCATTATTGATTTTATGGAAGTAAACAATATGTACTACGTTGTATCTGGTTTCTGGGACTCAGCATAATTTTTGAGATTCACCCATGCCATTACATGCATCCATCACTCATGTTTTTATTGCTGAATGGTATCACATTCGCAAATTAACCAAAATTTATTCATTTACCTAATTGATGATATTAGGGTTTTTTAGTTTGAGATTATTATGAATGGAACTGTGATGAAAGTTTGTCTATACATTTTTCTGTTACCACACGTTTTCATTACTAATTGATAAATACCTGAAATGGAAATGGAGAGTCACATGGTAAGTATATATTTAACAGTATAAGTAAGTACCAAACTTTTTTCCTTACTTGGATCATTTTACATTGCCGCCAGCAAAGGATGAAAATTCCAGTTATTCCATACTTTCCTTCACCTTTGTTATTGTTAGTTTTTAAAAAAATTCAGTCCTGTGCAGTGACATCAGATTGCAATTTTAATTTGCATTTCCGTGATAACTAATAATGTTGTATTCCTTTTCATGGTCTTAATAACTAATTGTATACATTCTTTTATGAAATATTCATTCAAATCTTTTTCCTATTTTTATTGATTTTTTTAATTTTTATTAAAATGTAAGACTTTATGCATTCCGTATGTGTCTTATATCAAATATATTGCAAATATTTCTCCCAGTCTGGCTTGCCTTTTCATTTTCTTAAAGCAGTCTTTTAAATAACAGAAGTTTTTCATTTTTATAAAGTCCAGTTTTTCATTCTTTTTTCCCCTTCTATGGTTTAAGCATATTGTGTCCTAAGAAATCTACATCTACCCCAAGGTTGTGAAGACATTCTCTCTCTTTTTTTTTTCAAAGTTCTATAGTTTCAGTTTTTACATTTAGTGCTATGATTCATTTTGAGTTAAATTATGTGAATGGCAAGAGATAAGAATCAAAGTTCATTTTTTTTATGAAGATAAACAGTAGTTCCAGGGATACTTTTTTTTTTCCCCCCCATAAAGCTATGCTTTCCCCCATGGAATTACCATGGCACTTTTACAGAAAATCAAGTGACCATAGATGTGTGAGTGTATTTCTGAAATCACTAATCTGTCCCATTGACCTGTATGCCTACACTTTAACAAAGCCATACTGTCTCGATATCTGTGGCTTTAGTAAATTGGAAGTCCTCCAACTTTGCTCTTCTTTGTTAAAATTGTTTTAAATACTCTAGGTCCTCAGCATTTCCATATACATTTTGAATCAATTTGTCAGTTTCTATCACACACACAAAAAGTTGCCTGCAGTTTTTACTGAGATTGAATTGTATCTATAGGTTAATTTGGTGGAAATTTATATTTTGAAAATATTGAGCCTTCTCATGCATGAACATAGCATCTCTCTATCCTGGCCACATAAAGGTGAATTATGAACTACCTCTACCTATTTTCCATCTGAAAAAATTCATGTAAGATCGGTATACTTTAGTTCTTAAATATTTGGTAAAATTGACCAGTGAGAGCCATGTTGGCTAGACTTCTTTTTTGTGTATGGGAAGACATGTAACTATAAATTTACTTTCTAATAGATATAAAAGCTATTACGGTTTTTAATTTTTTCTTGATTCCATCTTGCTCATTTGTTTCTTTCAAGGAATTGTTCATCTAGGTTGTAAAATTTATTCACATAACATTACTCAGAATATTTTAATGTCTGTAGGAGCTATAGTGACAGCTCCTTTTTGTTTCCTATATTGATAATTTGTGACTTTCCTCTTCTGTTCTTGACCAAACTAGCTACAGATTTATCAGTTTTATTGACCTTCTCTATCATCTTTCTTTATTATCTCCATATTCCTTTTCCTGAAGTCTATTTTGTTTGATACTAATATAGCCACTCTTGATTTTTTTATTAATATTTGCATTGAATATCTTTTTCAATCCTTTTATGTTATTATTACCTTTATATTTAAAATATGCTTCTTTTTTCGGAAAACATTCGGAGTGAAACATCTTCATATCTCTCCCCTTGAAACAACAATAAGCTGAACATCTAAAACTAAAAAAAAAAAAACCACCCTAACTGCACACCAGCACGTCTGAGCATGGATTCTGCGCATAAGAGCTACCACAGGTCAGAACCCCAGGTGTCGGGCAGTGGACTCGGAGGAATAAAGAAGTTGCATCTCGCAGCCACCGGAGCTCCCTGCAGGAGGAGGGGTAGGGGTGAAGGTGCGGTGACTTCCCTGATCAGCCTGCCTGGAAGTGCCGGAACTTCTAGCAGCCGGCACCAGGGCCATCACTGGGGCAGAAAGCAGAGAAGTGGAATGGGACAACAGAGAAACAACAGTTGATTTTTACTGGCCCCAGTAACAAAACCAAGACTGAGCCACAGTTCCCAACTCCCAACCCAGAAGGCTCCTCTCTCCATACCCTCCAAGACAGATCACCACAGAACTCCAGGAAAAGTTGAGCAAATGCTACCGAAACTGTTGCTAATACTGACAGGAACTGAAACTGAGAGTAGCAAGTATGATTAAACATCTACAAGAAAAGAAAAAAGACATTTAGGCTTTATATAAAGCAAGGATCCAAGAGCCTTAGACGCCACCTACTGGAAACCAAAAGAAAAGCTCCTTCTTTGCAGCAGGCTAAAAAGAGACCTTTATGTAATAAATCTTCTTTCTGGAAAAACAAAAGAATACACTTCCATAAATGCCCAGGTGGAGAAATAGTCCATTAAACACCATGATCAACCAAGGTGACAAGGCATCTCAGAAAGAAAGAGAAAAATCTCCAGAAAATAAGCTTACAGATGTAGAAATATGTGACTTACGAGACAGAGAATTCAGGATGGTACTTCTGAAAAAAATTCAATGAGATCCAAAACAACTCACATCAACAATTTCAGGAATTGAAAAAACAACTAGATAATCAGAGCAAAGAGGTTGAAACCCTCTAAAGGAACCAAATAGAACTTCTGGAGATGATGAACACAGTGTAAGAGCTGAAAAATGAAATAGCATGCTTGGGAAATTGAGTTGACCAAATGGAGGAAAGGATCAGTGATATTGAAGACAGAAATCTAGAAATAAATCAGAAGGAATAGAGAGAAACTGAAGAATGAAAAATAATGAAAGAAATACAAGAAATAGCCGATACTGTCAGGAGAGGAAACATAAGAATAATGGGCATTACCAAAGGCAAGGAAAAGGACCAGGGATGAGAAAGAATTTTCAGACAAATAGTGGACAATAATGTCCCAAATGTAAGGAATGAGCTGGGGCTTGGAATTCAAGAAGTCAACAGAACACGCAATTATCTCAACCCAAAAAGGCCTTCACCAAGACACACTATATAAGTTTATCAAAAAATAATGACAAAAACAATTCTCAGGGCAGCCAGGGAAAGGAAGAAGGTAACATATAAAGGAAACCCCATTAGATTATCATCAGACTTCTCAGCGCAAACCTAACAAGCCAGAAAAGAATGGAATCAAATATTTAAACTATTAAGTGAAAGGAACTACCAGCCTAGAATGATGTATCCAGCTAAGATCTCCTTTAGATATGAAGGAGAAATTAAGACCTTTCCAGACATACAAAAATTGAGGGAATTCTCCACTATAAGGCCTGCTACAGGAAATACTGAAAGGTGTCAGCTCATCTGAAACAAAATAACAAAACAAAAAGAAAAAGACATAATTAGGAATAAAGTGACTAACAGGCAAATAGAAGCAGAGGAGTGCAACCCTTACTAAAAACAAGGCATCATAAGCTTAAATAATAAGCAGAGAATTTCTATAGCAGGAAACTAATTCAGCATACATAAGGACAAATTGAGATAACAATGACTGAAAAGGGGAGGATTCAAAGATCCAAATTCACAAAGGGGAAAGGAGATAAGGCACGTGCAGAAGAAAATGGACAACTCTATATATATAACTATCCTTTTCATGTTCGTAATGGTAACCCCACACCAAAGATTCACTACTGAAGTATATAACATAAAACAAGAAGAACCAGAGGCAAAACTCACAAATCCAAGCAAAATAAAGAAAACAGAAACACAAAGACAAGGAAGCAATGGAAACACCAAGCTACCAAAAAGCAAAAGATAAAATGTCTGTAAGAAGACTTCATATTTCAATAATCACTCTAAATGTAAATGGACTGAACTCAACAATAAAAAGGCACAGAGTTGCAGAATGGATCAAAAAATAAAACTCAACCATATCCAGGTGACACATCTCAGCTCCAAAGACAAATATGGACTCAAAGTAAAAGGGTGGAAAATGATATTTCAAGCAAATGGCATTCAGAGAAAAGCAGGAGTAGTGTTACTATTATCGGGTGAAATAGACGTCAAAATAAAAAAAGTAAAGATACTGAGGGACACTTCATAATGATAAAGGGAATCATGCACCAAGAAGACATAACACTTATTAATATCTATGCTCCCAATCAAGGAGCACCAGGATATGTAAAGTAATTACTAACAGGAAACTAATTCAGCATACATAAGGACAAATTGAGATAACAATGACTGAAAAGGGGAGGATTCAAAGATCCAAATTCACAAAGGGGAAAGGAGATAAGGCACGTGCAGAAGAAAATGGACAACTCTATATATATAACTATCCTTTTCATGTTCGTAATGGTAACCCCACACCAAAGATTCACTACTGAAGTATATAACATAAAACAAGAAGAACCAGAGGCAAAACTCACAAATCCAAGCAAAATAAAGAAAACAGAAACACAAAGACAAGGAAGCAATGGAAACACCAAGCTACCAAAAAGCAAAAGATAAAATGTCTGTAAGAAGACTTCATATTTCAATAATCACTCTAAATGTAAATGGACTGAACTCAACAATAAAAAGGCACAGAGTTGCAGAATGGATCAAAAAATAAAACTCAACCATATCCAGGTGACACATCTCAGCTCCAAAGACAAATATGGACTCAAAGTAAAAGGGTGGAAAATGATATTTCAAGCAAATGGCATTCAGAGAAAAGCAGGAGTAGTGTTACTATTATCGGGTGAAATAGACGTCAAAATAAAAAAAGTAAAGATACTGAGGGACACTTCATAATGATAAAGGGAATCATGCACCAAGAAGACATAACACTTATTAATATCTATGCTCCCAATCAAGGAGCACCAGGATATGTAAAGTAATTACTAACAGAACTAAAGGGAGAAACAGACCGAAACACTATCGGAGTAGGGAAACTAAATGCCCCACTGTTAGATATGGACAATCATCCAAACAGAAAATCAAGAAGGAAATAACATCCTTAAATGACACATTAGATCTATGACACAGATGGACGTAAATGACATATACAGAGCCTTCCATCCTAAAACAGCTGCTTATACATTCTTCTTTAGTGCACATAGAACATTCTCAAGAATCGACCACATATTGAGACACAGAAATAACCTCAACAAATATAAGAGGGTTAAAATCATACCAACCATACTCTCTGATCATAATGCTTTGAAACTAGAGATCAACTGCAAAAAGAAATCAGGAAGAACCATAGATACATGGAGATTAAACAACATGCTACTGAAGAATAATTGGGTCAGGGAAGAAATAATTGGGTCAGGAAAGAAATAATGATAGTACAACATACCAAAAGTTTGAGATACAGCAAAATCAGTCATAAGAGGGAAAGTTCATATCATTATAGGCCTATCTCCAAAAACAAGGATGAGCCCGAATAACCTAACACTTCATCTTAAAAAACTTGAAAAGGAAGATCAAATGAGGCCTAAAGATAGCAGAAGGAAAGAAATTGTCAAAATTAGAGCAGAAATAAAAGATATTGAAAACAAACCAAAGAAATAGAAAAAATAAATACAACAAGGAGCTGGTTCTTTGGCTAGACTCACTAAAAAAAAAAGAAAAGACAAATAAAATCAGGGATAAAAGAGGAGAAATTATGACTGACATCGCAGAAATACAAAGGATCATGCGAGAATACTATGAAAAATATATAATAACAAATTTAATAACCTAGAAGAAATGGACCAGTACTCAGAAAAATACAATTTCCCTAGACTGAATCAGGAAGAACCGATCAGTGGTATGGAAATTGAAGCAATCATCAAAAACCTACCAAAAAGTCAAAGTCCAGGACCAGATGGCTTCAGCAGTGAATTCTACCAAACATTCAAAGAAAATTTAATACCTATTCTCCTCAAACTCTTCTAAAAAATTGAAGAGGAACCAATACTTCCCAACTCATTTTATGAGGCCACTTTTACTCTGATCCATAAAAAGAAAACTACAGAGCAATATCTCTCATGAACAAATTCTAAATAAGATACTAGCAAGCCGAATACAGCAACATATTAAAAAGATTATACACCACAACAAAGTGGGCTTCATCCCAGGGGCACAGGGATTGTTCAACATACATAAATCGATTAATGTGATACACCACATAAATTTAAATATAAGAATCATATGATCATAGCAATAGAAGCAGAAAAAGCCTTCAACAAGATACAGCATCCATTTATGATCAAAACACTTAACAAAATCAGTATAGAAGGAAAGGACCTTAACACAATAAAGATCATATATGACAAACCCTCAGCCAACATTATACTTAATGGTGAGAAACTAAAATCTTCCCTCTAAGATCAAGAACAAGACAAGACTGTCCACTATCGCCACTCTTATTCAATGTAACAATGGAAGTCCTAGCAAGTACAGTCAGGCAAGAGAAAAATATAAAAGGCATCCAAATAGGAAATGAAGAAGTCAAACTGTCACTATTTGTGGATGACATGATTCTTTATATAGAAAACCCAAAAGACTCCACAAGAACACTACTAGAAACAATGCAGTAAAGTCTCTGGATACAAAATCAATGTTCAAAAATGCATAGCTCTCCTATATTCTAATTATGAAGCGTCAGAAAAAGAAATGGAAAAAATAATTCCTTTTGCAATTGCAACAAAAAAATGTGTAAGAGTAAATCTAATGAAATAGGTGAAGGACCTATACAATGAAAACTATAAGACCCTATTAAAAGAACTTGAAGAAGTTACAAAGAAATGGAAAAATATTAATGAAATCCTCATCAAAATCCCATTGGCATTTTTTAAAGAAATAGAATAAAAAAATCATCTGATTTGTACAGAATCACAAAAGATTCCAAACTGCCAAAGCCATCCTGAGAAAAAAGAATGAGGCTGGAGGCATCACTATGCCTGACTTCAAGTTAAACCACAAAGCAACAATAATCAAAACGGCATGGTATTGGTAGAAAAAATAGACACACAGACCAGTGGAGTAGAATCGAGAGTCCAGAAATAAACCCATGTTTATATGGGCAAACAAAAAAGCCAAAAACATACAGTTTTTGGAGAAAGGAAAGCCTCTTCAATAAATGGTGCTGGGAAAACTGGAAAGCTTCCTGCAAAGGAATGAAACTAGACTGTTGTCTATCTCCACACACCAAAATTAACTCAAAATTGATTAACGACCTGAATATAAGACCTGAAACAATAAAATGCATAGAAGAAAACATAGGAACTAAACTTATGGACCTTGGACTTAAAGAGGATTTT